ATAACCATTAACCAATTTGCACTTAAAGTAAGACTAACAGTTTAATGCATATTATTTGAATGCTCACAGCTGTGTTAATGCATTAAGATTTTTGTTCAAATTAAAATGAAAACGGGCATGACAATCATACACTAATATAAAAACCTTAATACTTTTTTTTAAATTTAAGTACACTTAAAATTTACTATATAGTATATTATACAGACTTCACCAGTTTTATAATTTTAAATTACACCTGCATTGTTGCAATTATTTACTAGAAATTAGAATTATTACATAAAGGTACCTAAAAATTAATAACATTCGTTATCACAATTTATTATAATTTATTACTCTTACAAAAAAAAAAATTATTTATTTATTATGTTTAAACAATGTATAGCATTGATTAAAATTTTAAAAAGATGATAAAAGTGATAAAAAATAAAATAATAACAATAATAATATTTAAAGCATTATATGTCTAACAAAATATCTTTTTTATTTTCAAATAAAGAAGTTGATTGAAAAGCACGTAAATTAACAAACTTTTTAATTGATTATAATAATAGTGTTTGTCAAATAAATTATACTATATTTATTTATAAGTATTTTTTTTGATTTGAAATTAATGTTCTTTAAAAATTAAATTATCAAATGGAATAAGTTATATAACACGAAATTCATACGTAAAATAAAATTTACTTATTTTAACAATGTATTAACACTTAATAACATTATGAAATTGTTTTTCTTAAATTTTGTTACTGGACAGTTTTTTTACATTGAGTCTATATGGGCATATAGCCAAATTGTATTTTTTTTTTAGGATCCCTTTTTATGCTGATTATACCCATAATACCAATAATAGTTGTTGGATTTCTATTATTATTATTATTATAAGACATTATTTTATTTTATTTTTTATCAGTAGGACGTAGAAATCTCATTGAAATTAACATAATATATCTCGAACAATTGTACTCAAGTCAATATAACTGTGTACAAACGTATATTTAACTTGGGCACTTTGCCTTAATTTTCTGTTACAGTTATAAATGTAATTATATAGTTGTAAGGAATATTTATATTATAAATGAGCAAACTAATGTTATGCTAATAACTGACACACTTTATCTAATTTATTCAATGGAATTAAATGCCTAGAAAATAATAAAGCTAACATCAATATCACATATGCAACTCCCATTCTATGGAATTGTCGTCTCTTATCTTTACTAGGTGTGAACTATCGTATAAAGGCGGTAACTATTCTTGTTCTTAAAACAACTTAATCATATAGGTACTGGAGTATTATCAAATTTCTATGACTTACATACGCGTTTACGTATTGTTTTGAGTAATCACTAAAACTGAAATTCTAAAAATAACACATAATTAACATAAAATGACGTTTGATGTAGGGAAATAAATAATTATTTTAGTTGTTTTCGATAACAACTGTAAATAATTTTACTTAACATATTTATGTATAATTAATATATTAATGGTTTCAGATATAGAATAAATTAAAATTTTTTTAATGTGAATAAATTTATAATTATCAATTCTTAATTTGTTAAAAAGAAATCTATTTTATATATCTGCTTCTCTTTTATTGTTTTTTTCTTTTATCATATAAATAATTCATTAAAATGTCCAATTATATATTAATGTATTTATTTATAACTGTTTGACTATAATATAGATTTTATTGGTGTCGGAGTCAATGCAATTTTAGTACCTACCTAAACTTTCCTCGTAGTAAAAAAAAACAGAAAAATTATAACTTGAGTCACGTGAAATAAATAAATGTTGATAACTTTTTTTTATTGAAAAGTGGACAAAATAATGATTATAACATTGATTGTAACAAAATAATTAAATTTGTTATTTATCGCATAAAAAATTATTTTTTTAAATTTTAACTTTGAGTTTTTTTTAAATAATCGTTTTTATATTTTCATTGTATTTTATGGTTTAAGTTTAAAATACTCATGAGGAATATTGTATTAAATTTTCTACATTTAAAATTTTAAGGATTTCGTAATAATTTTAACTTCAGATGGCTACAAAATAAAACGTGCTATGCATTGTTACTTTTTCTTTTACAAATATCATACGAAAATCTTAAATTAATTTTTCAAGAATTTTGACTCGGTGGATAATTTTTTATCAACAAATATTTTTATAAAAATATTTATTATAAAAAAAACTGGGAATTAAAATCTTAATCTTTTCAAATTACATATTAGATTTAATCTAATTTTTACCCAAAACTATAGCCTTTTTTGATAATAAATAATGTATATCATATTACTTAGTAAATAGCGCCCTGTACTGATAAAAAGGTACCTTTTAAAAATATAATTTTGTTTGTTTATTGTTTTGTCCTAAATATTAGATTGTATCGAGGACACATTTATAACCCTGAATAATGTTAAAATTTGTACTTTATTTCATGAAAAATTTAAATCTCAAATAATATTTTTTTAAGAATAACTTTAATATTTAAAAAAAAACATATTTTTTCTGTTAATATATAGTTATAACTTGTAAGTAGTGGTTATCTTTTAAGGAAACTAAAGAAATAAGCCAGACAAAAAATGTTTGTATCAAAAATATACATTGTTTTAAGTGCTATACATTTTACAAGAAAAAAATAAAATTCTATGCATGGTGGAGTGGGCTTATAAAATTATACATTTACACTTTACCTATATGAATTTATAAAGTTCAAATTTACATAATATCATTATGTAATCAGCTAATCGAATACCTATTAATCATATTTTATTCATTTACAATAGCTATAATAAAATCAATTATTTTTACACATTTATTTGATAGTCCATAATTTGTCTACATTTAATAAAAATAAAGTAACTATTGATAAAAAATAAAATAAAAACCATGATTTAATCTTAACGGAATTCTGAATTATATTAACTATAATGTTTGGTTATAAATTGGAATGTTCCGGCATACCATACGAATAATTTATTCAAAGGAACGTCTTTTAACCACCATCAGAAGAAGGAGCACTGAGTCCCCTCTCTTTAATCCTTGACTATATTCACTAATTGTAATATACAATGCAATGTGACTATCAATTGTTTTGATTCATCAAAAAAGGTAACAGTCGATTCATCCCACTATTAATGCTTATATCAGACATGTTTAGACCGGAATATTAATTGTCATGAATGTTTTGTTACAAAAATTACATAAGAGTATGACAAAAATGTAAACAATCGTTCATACGATTAAAGTTTACTGCCAAACAGTTATTTCGTTATAATACTGTCATCGAGTGAATACGGCTTAAAGTAAACATTAAATAACTAAAAAAATATTTATCTGAATAAGACGAAAGATAAATATATATTATCTACATACATTTTTCTAGATAATTTCATCCAACTGTGAATTTTTTTTTGCTTGATATAGATTTATAGATACTAAAAATTAAACTTAAATGTCATAATTATCACGCGGCGTAATGTATAGGCTTTTTAGTGGCATTGCTGTCATGTGTGCATTTTACCTAATTTATTTAATTACAAAATAAATTATGAATTTTATCAAAATAATATCATGGTACTAAACAATTAACAAGTAAATAAGTTTAACTACTATAGGTAGGAAGAATTAGTATTTAGTATGTACATTGTACATATATTATTAATTTGCTATTTCATTTTTAGGGAAAATTAGTCATTTAAAAATTTAATATTTATAATGACGTATAAAATATAATTAAAATTAACAAAATCTAAGTCAGGTATTTTAATACTTGATATTTAATATTAAAACTTAAGATAAGTTGGTTAATTTTTTTAATATGACTAAATTGTATATCTATTAAAAAAAAATTCCATTTTTACAAAACAAAATAAAACAGTTATTGGGCAATAGATTTTAGGTTAAGTTTTTTTATAAAATAAAATGGTATTTCATAATTGATAGAATTACATTGTATTTAAAAATAATACGCACACATCGTTTTAATTAAATATATATATATATATAGTTACATAAAATATTTATTAGTAGAGCTTAGCACATCTATTGACATTTAATATTTCGAATATATTTTGGCAACTCAAGTAAGTACCCATCAATGCGAGAAATTTAAATAAACAGCGGCAACTACAACTAGTGATGTAAACAAGAATTTAACACGGTGATGAAAGGGGGTGATATGATGAACTTGAAATTTTTCATTAGCTATGGTCTAATGTTCCATCAAACCTCACCCTATTAAAACAGAATAAAGGGATAAACATACTTCCATATTTTTGAACTACTTATCGAAGTAAATTACTAGTTAATAATAATAATTATTATTATTCGTTACAGTCATTTCTTCTACCCATCCACTATCCATAATAAAAACATAACTTCTTAATTATTACTTTGCACATACATATACTGAGTAATGTTATGTATCGGAATAAGAAAAATATAATTTATTTCTATATTTCTTACTTTTGTTACTTCTTACTAGGTGCCACATTATGTATTTCCAATGAGAAATATTATTTCCAACAGGCGTGTAAAAACTGGATATTATGTTGATGAACTCAAAGTCTAAAATCATGTTTGAAGAAGAAAAAAATAAATTATAATTCCTCCCTGCACATGCCATTGACTACGACTCGGATACAACTGATGTCATTGACAAGTGAATGTTCGGGGTAAATATTATGTAAACGGTCCTTCGCCATATAAGGGATATCATTGAGGGGAAAAACTAGTGAATGGAGAAACGTAATACATTTTTGCTGTTATCGTTTGTAATTTGTAAGCCATTACGTAAATTTTAATTAGGTATAAAATGCAATGCTGAATGACTAACCATTTACCCAACATCATCATGCCATCGCGAATACGGTAATTTCAATCGTGGTCACACTGTGCACGATTATTTTGGTACCAGTGCCTCCCACCACTGTGATGATCTCTCGACCAGAACGGCGGAACGAAACGTTTCGCACGACCCGCGAGTCACCACCAATCATTAGTAGTTATTAGTTGCATAATTCCTAAAATATCGTGCGCTCTATTATCAACCGTTTCGTCATTTCGAATATTTCGTGTTTGTGTTGTGAAACTAAAAAACACATTCCACAGCTGCAAACTGATAACGTTACACAGTACACACAGCACTTTCTATTATTCAGATCGACGGTGTTATTGTGATAGTCCACCAATTTCGTTCTGAAATTGATTACAATCGGTGATGAAAAGTGAGAGCTCTGCAGTCTCTGATTTAATCTGTTCTTCGAAATCTATCACACAATCTTCACCGGAAGGCAACTACTGAACGTGACAGTGATTCGTAGAAGGATATCGGAGACTGTACGAGGCTTCGGGGACAAGCATCACATCAGCTACTTTCAGACAACAGAAGAATAAGCAAACCATTTTACTGCCAGTAATAGTATTGTTGGTCGTTTTTGTCGTTTTATAAACAAGGTATGTGTGTTTTGGCAACGGCCGTTCGGTATTTACATTCAAAATCTGATATAAGCTAGGTCGACAGGTCTCAGTATAGTTGACTCATAGCTCAGTTGTTATAACTAAGAAATAATGACTAATCAAAGTGAAATTGACAATGAAGATTGGAAAGAAAAATACAAAGCATTGGAAAAAGAATATGATGATTTTCGAGAACAGTCTCAATCATTGGAACGTGAATTGGAAATGGATCTTGAAGTTCTGGAGAAAAACAACAAAGAGCTAAAATCAAAAAACAATCAATTACAGTTTGATCTTGATACATTAAGGGTATGTACTATGTACACGGTTAGATTAGATTTAATCGTTCATAAAATAAACACTTTACTCATATTCTAAAATAATTTAATATGTAATATACAATGTGGGCTGTGGAGTTTTTGTATTTTTCTTTGTTGATTATTTTAAGTCCTAAGAAAAAACCACAGTTCATCCGATATAAAAAAGTTCTATGACATATAAGTTGTGGCTATAATTTATGATTTTATAGGCTAAAAATCGTGATGAACAGCAAAATCTAATGAACCAAATACATAGTTTACAAGAGGAGGCTATCCATTTTCATGAAAGAGAAACAAACTATGTAAAATACATCAGGGAGTTGGAACAAAAAACTGAAGACTTAGAAAAGTCACAAAGGTTTGTTGGTTTTTAATCAATAATCCTTATTGTGTAACTATGATTTATGCATATATTTTTATTTGAATTTCAGTATGGTTAAATATTTTGATATTATTAGATCAAAGTAATTGTGTTGTATCATTATTTGAGTATAGGCTTTAGTACTTTTCCATTATCTTGACTATAATGATTATTATTTATAATAAAATTGATTAATTGCCCACCTCTATTAATACTCTACTGTATTTAATTATTTATAACTCATTACAATTAAACAGTAATACACCTTTGCCAACTAATGTTAGAACAATATTATGTTAAAATATATTCTTGTAATTTTAATAAGCACTTCAAATTTAATTTATAACTAATTGATATAAAATATTTAAAAAAGTATGATTATTTTTTTGATAAATTCACCTATTACAAAAGTTATAAACGATTATTTTATTCTCTATCAATTTTGTAATTACTCTGTTTTACTCTAAAAATTTTTTTTAAATTGTTTGCTGTATGTTGATATTAATAGAGAGAAAAAATGGTGCACTGATCTCTTAGTAATAATTAAATTATTTGTTAAAATAAATAAGAATTATTATTTATATATTGTTAAAAGTTATTAAACTTAATGACTTTTATGTATATTATTTACTGTGCCATCTAGATGAATAAATGATTCATTGATTTGTATTTTCAGAGAAACTTGTGCATCTTTAGGAGACTTTGAAACTAAAATGAATGATGCAATTGAACGAAATGCACTCCTTGAAGTAGAACTTGATGAAAAAGAAAGTTTACAAGCTATGGTCCAAAGGTTAAAAGATGAAATTAGTGGTAAGTTGAACAGTAATATGTACATATACTTATATATGTCCGTTATCTATTGGCGGACTTAACTAGTAAAAGCCCTTTGTTTTAAAATTGTAGACAGTAGCGTATATAGGGGGGCTGAAAGCTCCCTCCCTTAACTGTTATAGTATGTTATAGTTATTGAGTTTCAACTAGTAAGAAAGACGTAAGTTCAAATTCATTTTTGCAAAAACATTGTATTTACAAACCAATTTTCCCAAAATAATCACTAATTATTTGGTAAAAGTATGAACTACTTGTATTTTACCTTATATTAAGTTGCCAAGTCTTAGCCATACAAATTTATTATTTATAAATTTTGAACTACAAATTAATTGAGGTTTTGTCAAAATGTGTACTTAAAATGCTTTAAATTTAAAAATAATTGCATCTGTATATTGTTAATATTTTAATAGCTATAATAAAACCTACGAGGAATCTTTTATTACATTTTTGAGTTTTTTAATCAATTATTTTTTTTATTGACATTTTTAGAAAGTAAAAATTAAAACTAATACAATACAATCTAAGCGATGATACAATTTAACCTATGTTATAAACAATTTTAATAATTATTTATTTATGTGTTTCGGATTATCCGATTATTTTAAAAAGTACTGAAAATTTTCAATTTTGATCTCCTAAAAGTACTAACTAGATCCAATTTACTTCAAGCATTTTTTTTTTTTTTCCAGAAATTTGAGTAGTTGAAGTTGTATCTTGTACAAAACATTTTTAAATACCTCACCTAAATGCATCTGAAATTATTTGATTGCAAAATAAAAATAAAATTGTAATTAATTTCCTAGCCTCTTCATTGAAAAATCCTGTGTACGCCCCTGATTGTAGAAGGCCCCTTTTTTGATAAATTCAAAGAAATAATTACTTTTTTTTATGCATTATGAAATGCATATCTGTTACTCTTATAAATCTGTACAACTAAACAAAAATTTAAAAAAATTAAATTTTAAGACCTCTTGGTTATTAGGTATTGATTAAGAGGGTTCTGTAATACAAAGGCTGAATATTCTATAGTACTTTCTATAGAAATCAATAACTGATAATGTAATACAAATAATTAAAGTGATAAATTATAAAACATCTTTAAATACAAATTTATAATTTATATTTCATATTATTAAAATATACTATTTAGTTTTTCGATCATACATAATTTACTAATTGATTATTTTTTAATTTATAATATTTAGTTTTTTAAAAATATTTTTGCATTTTATTTTTATCAGTTTACATATATTTAACCTAAAAAATCTTAAATTGTCAAGCTTCAGGCATTTTTTATCATTATAAATAATAATTATGTTGTCATCAATTTATGTATAATTTATTTCAGTTTATATTTGAGTTGTTTTTATTTCTTATTGGAAGATATTTATCATAAATAAAAATTAATAATTAAAGATGTTAAATGTGTTAGATGCTAATATTTAATTAGTCTTTGGTAGTGTATTTGTTAACCAAATAATATTGATTGGGTTATTATATTACCAAAACTGGACTAAATTGAAAATTATTTCTGTATAGTATCACTAATGACATTTTGATTTTTGCCAAAGAAGTGAAATATTTTATGTTATGGAATTTTAAACAGTTCATAAAATATTATAATATATATTTTGTTATAACTGTATTACATACATTTCTAGAACTTAAACAAGAAATTCAAAGTAAAGAGCGTAAATTAAATCCTGAAATGAATGAATCTCAAGCTGCTGCTGCTGTCAGACGATGTAGCAGTTTTAGAGCAGCAGTAGACAATAGACTATCATCTTCAGCAGATAACACGCCAAAAAGTCATACAAAAAGTAAATTAATCAAAAATATTTTTGATGAAATTATATTGAACTGTGTCACTATTCAATTTGTTTAGGTTTAAGTGGAACTGGTGTATTTCATTCACCACCTACCAAGTTAGCTAGAGTTGGTGATATTGTTGGAGATCTGATGAGAAAAGTAAATGTAAGTTACGTTCATTAAAATTTATATTACTTGTGTTTAATATAATTATTTTTATAGGTTCTCGAACTTAAATTAGTGGAAGCCAAGCAGATGAATGTAGCTAAAACTCAAAATTGCCCATTCTAACAAAACGCTTTATGGCAAACCACTTAAATGGTTGGCCTTCTATAGCTGGATATTCTGTTTACTGTATATGATGCTGAGAATACTCAAGTCTTATATGTGTATCTGCTCTCTGAAATGCATTATCCTATTGACCTAGAGGAACTGTTTCGTGTGTTCATATTTCTAAAATACTATTTTCTAGTTTCCCACGTTTGAAAATGTTATAAATTTTTTACAACAAATGCAATGTAAAGTATTTTTTTATTTAATTATAAATTATTTATATACATGATATAAGTACATAATTACATTACAAGAAAACTTATGACCAAAAAGTTTTTATTTTAATATTATTTACTTATAGTTTAGTATTAAATAAGGCCTTAACAACGAAACATGTACCCTTCTTTTGTAGAAAGACAGACAATAATATGTTTGTACAAATATTTATGATATTATGCACATAAGATTATTTTTAAATCACATATGTTTATCTATAAAACAATAATGTATTACAAAAATAAATTTACCCAATAAAAAAAAAAATGTATATATTAAAGAGATAAAATTGTATAAATCAAAATCAAAATTGTACATTTTTTTTTGTTTGCTTCATTTTTACAATTTATGAGAATGTTGACTAGACTAATTCACTTAAAAATTAAAACAAATAAAAAATGATCATAAACAAAATACACGAACAGAAGTTGTTGCTCCTTGCTGGGATGTTTTTAAGAGGTACAAATGGATTTATTTGACCGAAAGAGTTTTGAGTCTCGAGCAAACTTTTAACTTGAAAATATGTTAATTCAGAGTTTGATGGTAATAAATATATAAAAATAATAAAATATATGTTGTAATGTGCGGTGTATCCAGTGCATAACGAACTGTCTATTGGGACGGTACGTAAACGTTTATAAATCCTTAACCATTACAACATTAACAACCAATTACAGATTGCATGATGAGATATTTGAATATAATATAATATACTTAAAATATTAATTAAAACTAAAACGAATACATATTACAATAATAATATTATGTTAGTGTCCTATATAACGATGTTAGGTCAGTGTGGTCGTACAACATAAAAAGTAACGTCATTATTAATTTTGTATTATTTATATATATATATCATAGACTTCCGATAAAGACTCGCTGGTTACAGGTTACTATAGAGAGAAATCTGGGGCCGGCCGTGTACCGCCCGAAGAGGATGAAGTAGTCGCGCTGGGGCCGATAAATACACACGACTACGCCGCTTAACAAATAGAAATTTTTTTTGTACACGAAAAAAAAAAAATTATCACAGTCAAACACACGCGTTGAACGTTTTTTGTAGATTTTTTTTTTTTTTTTGTTCTTTTATGGCACCGTTCGAAAACGACAAGAGTTAAAAAAAAAAAAAATAATAATAATAATAAAATGTGGAAAACCGCGACGGACAACATTTTCCTTTAGCCCGTTCACAGAATCCACTCGAGGAACGAACCGCCGAACCAGACGGCTACCACCGGCAACAGGTACGTGGCCAGCGCCTTTTGGAGCGTCGGTTTGGCCTTGTGGCCCGCGCTCGATCCGGACCCCGTGCCGCCGTCCGACGGATCCGTCGCCGTTCGCGTCGGCGAGGGCGTCGTCGTACCGGCCGCGTTGACGGCCGTCGTGGCCGGACCGCTTCCGCCCGCTGGCGGCTGCGGCGGCGGCGGAGACGATGAGGACGCGTGAACGCTGACGGAGTCCTCGTCCTCGTCCCCGGAACCGTCGCCCGACGACGCTATCGGGCCGGCGCCGCTCGACTCGCCGCCGTGGAACACTTCCTCCATGTCCCACTCCACGTCCAGTCCCTGGTACGCGTTTTTCAGCAGGTTGGTCAGGGCTTTGAGCGCAAACACCTGTTCGTTGAGCAGGCTACTCGGACGCGTCACGTCCACCGGCACCTCGGGATTCCTCTTCTGGTTTTTTATGCCGTCTTTCATTACCTCCTTGGCGTAACTGAAAAAAAAAATCACCAACATTTTAAACTCAACGAATTATACAGTAATTTAAACTCGGATTAGGGCGTGAACATGCTAGACTAACGAAAAATCCATGTGGGTACGCGCGTTTCGTCGCCGACGACGAAGCGGTATGATAAAGCGATTGCTTAAAGCTAAAATAACGTTTAATCAAAAATTTCTACTTTTTACTTCAATAAAAACTTTAACCTTCATAACGGAAAAATCTGAGCACATCACACATACGTTTGAAGTGTATAATGTTATTTTATGGTGATAAAACACAAACATTTGCTGAAGATAAATTAGACGTGTGTGGCGATTACAAAGAATAGAATCAAATAGTGATTGGAATAAACGTAGGTATAGAAATAAGACGACCAATATAGCGATGAATCTGTGGTGGAGTAATTAATACGAAGAAATAAAATTAAGAGGAAGGTAAATAAAGAGCGAAGGATTACTATAAGCCAATCTAAGAATTAATTATGAAAATATATAGAAGAATTTATAACTCATGGGTATGACAACAATATAAATATGCTACAGCTTTAACGTTTTGTTTACAATACTGAATATGAAATATAAAATCACATGAAGTTTGATAAAACATAATAATCATAAAACGTTGGTAAGTATTAAAGTATCGGGTTTGTATGAATTTTTCATTGTTTTTTCGGTTGGTCTAGTCGTGATAGTATGTGGCTATAAGTAAACATAAAATACGCCCCAAGACGTGGATAAAACTCCAAAACTTTTGAGCGCATATATTTGCGTAACTAAATCCAAGTTTTGCGATATTTCGATTCAGTAATCTACATTTTTATCAGTCATATAACTTGACAAGTAGCAATTTAAATAAATAGTTTACAATGTATTCGGATAGAAAACAAAATTAGATTTCAACTTTGGGCTAGTTATATACATTTCGCGGTATACCGATAAACGTAGTAATAGTTGTGAAAGAAAAAAGTTATATTATGCATAGTTTTTAAATGTTCAACTTTGTCCTTTGAATACTTAAATTTCCATCGGAGCTAACTGCTTACTTATAAGTATTTACTATTAATATGTAGTATTGTCAGTTTTTTTAACAATATATTTTTATAAAAATGTGATTTTTACTACGTAGCACATATTTTTACTCCAAACTAAATGTTTCAATTACGTATAAAATAAATCACAAAGCGCTTCCGAGTTAATCGCATATCTTGAGTTTTTCGAATTGGATGTGTATTATAGACACGAGTATCTTTGCCATTTTTTTAGTTAATATGGTTTAACAAAAAAATCTAATACATTTTTTTGTTACACTAATTTTTTTTTTTTATTATTAACAAACAGATCAAACCGACATATTATCACGATTTTTAATTCATCTTATTATTTGTAAAATGGCGTTTCAAGTCGAGTAATATATTTTTTTTACTTGACTTCATAACTAATACTATCCTTAAATATAATTTATAATTACCTGGCCAACGCAGATCCATTCCAGCAACTGGTGTTCTGAACAGTCTCGATCACAGCTACCTCATTGTTGCAAACCTCGTACGGCAATCTCTTCCAGAAGTTTTTTGTAGACGACACGTGGGTGCCAATGTCTTTGAGCAGTCTGTGGAACGCAAACGCAGGACCTCCTTGGTCTTCTTCCTCGTCTTCGAGACCGTTGTTCTTGTTATTTTTTTTTCTGTTCTTATTTCCTCCACCGCTGGCACCGTTTTTCGGGCCATTGTTGTTTTTGTTCTTCCTTTGCTGTTGCTGCTGTTTCTTTCGTTCGCCACTCTCTTCCGGAACGTTTTCTTTTTTTTCATTTCTGACTTGAGGTGGCACTGCCGGTTTCACGTCATCATATTCGTCGTCTTCATCATCCTCATCGTCGTCGTCTTCCACATCGTCCTCGCCGTCCTCGTTGGCTTTACCGGCGTCTTTGTTTTTGCCGTCATTCATCACACGTCCTTGTTGGTAGTCATAGTAGTCGTCGATGTTGTATACATCGCGGCGACGGCGCCGACGCGATGGCCCCAACGTAGGTTTACCGCAGTTGGCGAATACCTGTTGAACACGAACACGACGAAACTATTAACTCATCAGTCTCAAGATAATACATAGTTAATAGTTATAATGGGTTTAATTTTCTCGAAATAAGCGTAGGTGGTTAGTATCACAGTTCGATTCCACGAGCAACAACAATAATAATGGAATATAGATCTGAAAACTTTTATTTACTATTGTCTACTATTTATGTATAGGCTACGGATAACTATAAATATTATCATGAATCATGATTTGGTTACTATTTAGTCTTTTTTAACCTTTATAGGAATGGTTGTTTTTTTCGTGTACAGATAGATAATTACAAATGATGAATCAGATTAGCGATATCACACAAATTGTAATTTTACTTAGTTAGCATTAAACATATTTGATTTAACTTTGGGACTAAATCGATACAATGTGAATGGTTCATTTTATTTTGTATACAATATGTTGCTATAGACGCATATATTATATTATACCTTTTGAGAAACTTTTTGAGAGTTTTCTTGAAAGTTCATTATGCCTTCAGATATCTTTACATTGATCGGTATAACAACCAGTTCGATGTTGAACGGCCCTAACAGACGTTTTTTCACCTTCTCCATGATATCTGTAAATAGGAAACCGTTATATTGTATATTTACATGTGTATAAAAATCAAATCAAAAATATTATTCAATAGCTTACCTAAAAACGCGTTCCAATCTTGATCAAGCTGCGAGTGGTACGCCAGACATCCCTTCATAACGTTCAGACAATATCCGTTACATGCTTTGCTGTCTTGCAATCCTCTACAAGCTGGACATTGGGTCATTCTGGTGAAGCCAACTAAACATTCTTGGGTGGGCGCCATCTGTAAAATTAAAAATTAATTATATTTTAGTATACAGAAATTACGTAAATAAAGTTGTTAGTTTTATAACATAGCTTCCACCTCCCATCTAATGCAAAAATCACTACTCTGACATAAAAATTCAGTGTTTTTAATTGCAAATTCCAATTAATTAACAAATTATATGCATATATATATATATATAGCGTACAGTTATAGGATTTTATTAATATAATATAAATATCAATGATACAAAACCATAAAGGTACAATTATACCGGTAAAGCAGGTAAAGTGGCTGGTAAATAATAAATTATATATATCGAAGACAAACTACGATATTTATTTATGTCGTAACTAAATCCTCGATTCTAATAGTGCATTTTTAATTAATAAAAGATAAATCAATTTATTATATTATTATATCAATTTTTATCTTTACATCAAAATCATCACAAGTCCCCCGCATATGACTGCATATAAACATAATTATAATTGATATTATTCTGTTGATGATGTTCGCGATTAATGAATATACTATTCAATTAAATATGTCTTAAAATATAATACTTCACAGTGTAAAACGAACCTTGTTGATGTTGGCCAAAATATCACTGGCTATTTTCAGGGCCTGTACGTACGTTCTGGAAGCGACAAATGATCTTTTCAGCGGTGCCGAAAGTTTGTCGGGCACGTCGCCAAAGGGCGCTACCTCTGACATACTCTCACTAACGCACACCAAATACCTGTGGACAATATAATTGATTAGCGTCATGAAAACGTAACTAATCAACCTTTATGTAAAATATCAATTATAAATCCTAAAATTAAGTGATAAATACATTGTATAAATGTATAATTTAAGTATGTAAAAAGATAATGATTGAGTGACCGCACCTGTCGTGAATACGATATAAACTAATGATATATATTGTAAAACTGTGCGAACAAAATTCTGCAATATAGCTTGAACTTTTGAAAACGTAATAGAAATTCTATGAAATCGTTTGTCGTTCGTGCTAAGTCGATCGCAAGAGCAGTTTGTTTATTCAAGCAGAAACAAAAAGTTTTTCGAGAGATATTGTTACAAGCATATATAGTATTCACTATATATAGGTACGTTATGAGACACAAAGGGGAAAAGCTAAATTGTATATGTATAATGCTAAAAAATGAGTGTTGAAATGATAAAACGTATAAAATCACTCACTTAGCGTCGAACGCAAATTGGCTGTTCATGACTGTGAACATTTTCTGACATAGTACGGAGAAGAAGTTTTCCAACACCTCAACGATGTTCGTGTTGCCCGCGTCGTAATACTTTTCCAGGTCCCGGAACAGATCCTGGAACAGGTACGAGTTCTGTTCGTACATCATTCCATACGTCTTTTTGAACATGTCGTGAAAACCCATTCTGGCCTTGTTCAGCATATCTCTAAAGTATTCTAAATATAAACAAGAAACGATGAAAAAAATAATAAAAACGATCGGCCGATCAGACATTAAAATCACGATTTTTATAATATCATATTCCTAAGTAATTCAACTAGGATATTTTTGAAAAATATTTAGTTTATATTAGTTATACTAACCATCGAATTTCGCAGCTTTCTCTTTGTACATTCCGCTTAGGGTTTTTAATGAAGTCTGTAGTTTATCGTCGTACATATTTCTACCAACGGTCACCAGTTGCGGTTCAGAGTTTTCGTGACAACACGTCTCTTGTGATTTCCCGCACACTTGCAAGAAAGCGTCTGTAAAAAAAAAATCGTCATTAATGATATTTCGTATTATAATCATTATTATTACATTATATGTACGTTATTGAATACATCGGACAACTATTATAATACACATTTTTCGTTTGAATGTCATGTTAAGAATAGTCTAGAGAGTTTTCGGATCACGATATTGATGCACGTGTCACACATAATAATAATAACACAACGAACATGGAACCTTTCTATATACCCTAATAGAATCCCTATAGAATAACAAATAAAATTTCAATGACCAAGAGTATTTGGTATTTAGAGGTTTCACTGTAATATATTAACGCCACGTTTATTACATCCACTCACACATTTTGTTGTTATCAATAAATTCAGACAATATTAAATTACATAATATGTATCTGCGACTATCGACTAATACAGCCACAACGCCGGTAGTCTGACCAGATTTTTATAACAATATTTAGTCGTAGTAAAATATTATAAGCACAAATATAGCGAAATATCTTGTTCATTAATGTCGAATCCCCTGCACTGAATTATAAATGTAATACTCTATGGGCTTAAATATAATAATTTAGTACACTAAAATTATAAATAAAGTGAGAATTATACTATTATGTGAATTCTCTTTTACACATTTGAGTTTAATCGTAGTATATTAAATTGTGGGTATTAATTCAAATGTGTACATTACATTTCTATGCGGCAAATCGTTTTGGAATAAAAAAAACAAGTCAATTAAGGGTGTGTTGGGAATTAGTCAGACGTATTCAAGATTCTCTTTTGTCACGGTCAATTTTTAAAAACGAATTCGTCAACAATATATTTTTATGTAGGAATAGCTAAGGTACCTTATATGTAATAACGCGCAGAATGTCTTGATCTGAAGGGGAAAAACGTTCTTTTATATATAGATCGTAATCGTTTTTTGAATGTTTCCAGCTCTTTACAGAACAATAAAAATACGTTTTTTAAATTTTTATTTAATGCTAGCTATTTATGAACGATTTTGACGATTCCGTAATACATAATACGCTTACAGACCAAGAAAGACCATTACAAGTCTTCTGACAATGTAAATAAACTTTAAATTAAATATGAAAATGAAGTAAACTAAGCGGAATGATAACGTAGTGATAGTATTACAAATAGGTTGATGAACGAGTTTCGGCCTATATTCATTGTTTATAATTTGATATTATAAGTGATGCGGAATTATTGCAAAATAAAAATATTTAGTTAAAAGAAATTTGTCTAAAAAAAAATTGTATAGAGGCTTTCAACAGTTGAGAAGCCCGCTTACAAAAAAGAAAGCCTTATGTATAGTGAAACTTTATACCGTATATTATTATGCAATAACGACTATTCTATTCTATTTTTTTTTTTTTTTTTTTTTTACTAAGGCATTAACAATTGGCCATTTTCGGTAACCGTTCAACAAAGTACATAACGAATTCTATTTATCTAAGGTTCAACCCACTCGGTTTTTTTTATTCTTACAAAAATGTTATGATAAAAAAAAGCCTTTATAAAACGAATATATTGTATAATATAATAGTTATACTCGTCGTATATTTTCAATGCCTAAAATGTTTAGCAATACAACAATTTGTATAGCTTCATGTTACATTTGAAATCACGAGGTTAGTACTATTAATAAGTTTATTTTTCTCATTTAAAAATCGTTTAGAAAAATAAATTGAATATATACTATTAATTCACATTAGATATAATATAATTTATACACAACGAGTGCTCCCAATTGTATATAATTTGTATTTATTTAAAAAAAAAACGATAACTTATTTGATCACATACCTATATATTTTAGATATACATATGTACATTAATCAGTAACAATTTTTACAAAAATGAGTAACTAGATTTACTCCGACAGAGATTTGATCGCATTTTATGGAGAAATATTACATACATAAAATTATTTGATTACCTAGCAATATAAAAAAATTATAATATAACTATATTTTATTTCAACGTTTTTTAATTTTAATATAGTTCAATGTTAGGTATCTTTTCAAATGAATAAGTGGGTGACAATTCCCTTTGTTTATTATACAGAAAAATAGCATGTATTTGTGTTTCTGGAAAAAAATGAATAGTGGACAAATACGGTATTGTAGGCCATAATAGTAATTTAATTTTTCTTACTGTAGAGTGAATCAACTTCCAGATTTCGAGGTATCTAAGCCGGATAAAAAACGCGTGGGGTGGCCCCACAAGAATATATTGTACCTACCTATACACGAATTATATTATATGCATTTTAGTATTAGTAAAATATAAATATAGCGTATAATAGGCCTATAAGTAGTCAAATAGGTAATAAACACTAATAATATACGAGTATATAGACGCGAGCCAAGTGTGTTAGATATACTGAATTTTGGGGACTGTTCACGACGACGACGACAACCGACGGAAGGCCATAGCCGTATAATGAAATATTATACTATTATATCATTTATTATTACGTATAAATTTAATATACGTGTAATGTATAATAATTGATACTAGACCAAGAAGACATTCATGTTGTCGTCGTTCTCACCCGATCCAGTCGCGACGAGACACTGCATGTACAACGATAATATTAATGTTAATATTATTATACAGGATGACTCACAAAGCATGCTTACCGATGATTTTTTCTTTTAATAAATAATTTATTAAAATTCTGATTTTTAAAATTTGTACATGAATACCATACTTTTAAATTATTGAGAATTTTTTTACTAAACTTAAAGTGTGTCTTGTGATGATATAAACTTCTATTTTTTAAACGAGAACCCTTCTTTTTATTGTAATTTATTAGGTGAATAATTTTATTGAAAATGTTGATGCACTTACTTTAAAACTAATTAGTAGTTTCTTAATTATTACTAATAACTTATTGGAAATATTTATACTCAAGTTAATATATCTTAAAAATAATTCTACAAAAATAAAAAATAAATGTTGAAAGATTAATATGAATTTCAAATTACTGTAGCTCTATATCTTTCAAACTCATTAACGTAAGCCTATTATCCTTAGTCCATTAAGTTAAATAATTTAAAACTATTAATTCAAATTTGAATTTTGATACATCCGAATTTTCAAAAACGTTATCCGCTCAATAATTTGCAGTAGAAAAGAGTGATTTTCATTTAAAAAACAGGAGTTTGTCTCTCCATAGAAGAATCCTCAAATAATATAAAAATTTGAAAATATAGAATTTAGGTATGTTTAAAAATTCCAAAAATCAAACTTTGAATAACTGCATTATTAAAGAAAAAAGAGATAAGTATGCTCAATGAATCACCCTGTATATCGTACACACGTAAAACACGACAACGGTGCATTATAATATAGCTGCTCGACGAAATATACGTGTGTGCGACCCGAGAGAAAATAAATAAGAAGTTTTAATATATTATCATCTACTGCATGGGCCCCCGCACATCACGCTGTGTTTACGAGTTACGGCCGCATGTTTAATAATAATAATAATAATATGAGAACCGAGGAGCTAATGGGTTTCAATTGCACACACACACACACACACAGACCCGCGCGCACATAATAACAGTATATAATATGATTCGATAAAAACACATCAACACCAATCTCCGTCGAACCACGGAAACAGGAAGCCGGTCAATTTGTTTATACCATAGAGACATGTATAGCACACACGACGAGAGCGTTTTTGGTTTTTGAATTCATCATATAATACATTACACGCGTTTTATTATTATATACACATAATATTATTCTTTATTGGGTATATTTGGATCCGTACTCCGTGATCATTGAGTCGGTGATCCACTTTTATCTCTCCCGAACACGAGACACACACACCGACTATCGTCGTGTCCGTCCGTCGATCTATTTTCACTCTTCGCGTCCAACTCTTTTTCTCGATAATAATCGCGTACTGTACCCACAACATCAGCGGGGTACACCATACTATAGATATATGATATTATGTTTTATGTATAATAATATGCGCAACATACGCTAATGACCCACTCGCCGATGAAAAATCGTATAATATACCTAATAACTAATAATAAATAATAAGTATAATATATAATATAAAGGTACCGTTGATTCGTGACAATGTCTTTCGACCACACAAGTCGATCGACTGCTTGGTTGTGGCAGGCAGTGGCGGGAGATATCGGAAGGAGCGAAGTGTATAATATTATAGGTATATGACTGCTGCGGAGTGCAGACTATATAAATGTGTATATTATATTATTATTATTATTATTATTATATAATAACGTGGAAACGGTGAAAATAAATATGTGTGTGTGTGTGTATACAACGCGTTATTAGCTGCATTATAATAAACACAAGGGCATTATTTTCGGTTAGGTACTACCTACCTATGTAGATAATGAAATAATAATTACGCGCATTGTAGGCTATACAGATACACGGAGGTACTAGGTGGATATCTCTTGTCTCAATGTAAAATGTATATTATATAATAATATGCGAGGTACGGAGCGGTAATGGTAAGTCGTGTATCGCGTTCGTAAACGACGACGACGACGAACGACCGACATTATCGCGAATGGTGTGTCAGCCGTGGGTGGGCCGAATAAAGAAAAAAAATAAAATAAAAAAGTATTCTCTGAGCGCGCGTGATTGCCACCTTTATTATTTTAATGTTCTCCCATTCCCCCTACACACAATGTTCACCGTCGTTTTGGCTAATAACGCCAGACCGAACAACGGTATCGAGAATACTAAAGAAAAAAAAAATTCACCGCCTTACTATACATTTAATATATATATATATATATATAAATATAATCTATACTACGGAATGATACTGACACACTATGAGGTGAGTCATGGTATAAATTATCATTTCCCAATCCTCCTACTCTTACCCGCAGGACACGTTTTTATATGTACATGTATATTTCCCTGGGGCGCACTGTAAGATCGTTAATACGTTTACCCTCGACGTAGCTGTTTTTATTTTACAGCGAAAGAGGACT